CATTTGTCACGAGATCACAACCCAGACCTATGACATCAGGTTGACGATTTTTAGATCGTTTGGTAAGTATGATGTAGTGGGTGATGGTAGGTATAATGTATTGAGCGTTGTTGAGTATGATGTATTGGTGATAAGTTTGTTCGATTAATTGAGAGGTAAGTATGAAGCCATAGAAAAGCTATATAAGGGGAAAGTATATATAGTTTAAGTACAGTACGATCATTAATTTAGTATCGTATGATATGATTAAAATTATGATATGTATGATATGTATCTATGTACATACGTGTATGTTCGTACAAATTGATAGTAAGCATGATCGTAACGATAAAGCAATAAATACAAATTGATCGTGTAAATCCAACCCTTTTTAGTCTATTTCCTTATTAAATTGATACCAATACCGATACAATGAATCTAAAGACACCAAATTCAAAGTTTTTCAACAACCCGGAAGTAGTAGAAATATCTGATACGGACGATGAGCAAACAACAGTGGTACTTGTATAATAATTATAAATTAGTAAACTTGGATTTTTAAATATTATGTGCTTATAATTGTACATTTCTTGGTTTTATTAAAAAAAGGATACAACTGAATATGAATATTCTGCATCTGAAATAGTATCAGAAAAAAGTAATTGGGATAAAGTTAGTGTGACAAGGAATAATAGAGGTGTTCAAAGAGAATTGAGTACTTTGTCACATGAATCTGATACCACGAATAATTCTGGTAGTGTTTTTAACACACCTCTTTCTAAATCCTCATTGATTTGTGAATTAGATAATACTTATAAGGTAAAATAGATTATAAGGTCATACAAAAACTTAATAAATTAACTCTCATAATATAAAATTTTTAAAGTGATCTAGCAACCTGGATATTGATTTTATTTTCAAAAAATTATATATATAAAAAATAGGCAATTTCTATTTGAACACTACGTGTTATAAACACGGATCTGCAAGTTGCATATTTGATATATATACCAGGAACGAATGTAATGAGTGTATGGTTTATACGCTGTTTGGGGTGGGATTTGTCCGCAAAATCTTAAGTTTGATTGGTCCACATGACTTATTCATCAAACTTTGCTTATTTTTCACATA